GTATTTTTTTTACTCTAGCTATTGAAGTATAAAAACCTGACTGTCACTTGGTTTAAGGTTTCCCTAGTGTGTTCTTTTAGGTACTACTCTACAATTTATTGGTTGTTGATTCTGAATTTTTTCCTAATGGTTGTATGTGGTTCAACTTTGATTAGCGTTCATTTTTATTTTTGGAAACATGACTTTTCCCCCAAAAGAAAGAGGGCATTTCCTTCCCGTTATGAATGCAGCAAAGCTGTCCAATCCCTTTGTACGTCTAACAAATGCACTCCTTTGATGATTGAATAGTTGACAATACACCGTTGGAAGTATGTGCATTTCTAGTGACTGAATACGGCAGAGTATTGCAAAAACAATATTACCACTCCCTTTTGACTTCTTCCTTCTTACCAAAGCCATCATAACTTGTCTATAAAACATTGTTGAAAGTTAGATGATACAACCAGTGCTCATTGATAAAACAAAACAAGTGGCCTCGTGAAAAGGCAACAACCTGGCAATGGGGTAAAAAGGCGTGTGAGCAGTCCAGCAGATTCAGAATAAGGCAGGCTTATTACGCATCTATATCAGGCATATAGATTTGTTTGGTCTACACCTCTGGGGCATATCCTTTGTTTAATTGTTTTACTCTACAGACAGAATGCTAGAATTGGTTGCAATCACCAACCATTGTTTTTGCTCTATGTGCTATATATAGAAATATTTATTAGAGACATTTAATATTAACATGTAATTTGCATTGTCATCCTTGTGTTTTTGCTCTATTTACAGGGGGATGAAGATCTCATGCTAGTTCATGACGCTCTGGAGTATGGAGATTGCCGTTTATCCCTTGCAGTGAGTTAACATTTTGTTGTAGCCTTACTTCCACACGCTGCTTCTGTCGTTGGCCTTTACACCATCTTATATTGACTTACTCCGTTGTTTCAGATTCCCCAATATGGGATTTTTGAAAATATAAATTCACTGAAGGAGCTTGCACAAATGCCTCGGTGGACAGAAGAAAGGCCTCTGCGAGTTGCTACAGGATTCACCTATGTATCTGTTTCATTTTAATGTTACTAAAATTTTCTTTTTTGATAGATTTCCTTCCAGCATCTTTTCATAAAAAGTGGATCATGATCTTGTTTCTTTCAGCTGGGCCCTAAATTTATGCAAGAGAATGGGATTAAGCATGTGTTTTTTTTCAACTGCTGATGGAGCACTGGAAGCAGCTCCTGCGGTGAGAGGCGGCTCGTACTTTTGTTGAAAAATTTCCCCCTCTAACTATTTTATGTCATAACTTTATTTTTCCTGTTTGGGGCTCCTGTTGGTTGCTAATTAAACTTTATAGTAGTTGATAGATGCCAGTAAATGGGTTCTGTAGCTTAATTGATAGTGTTTTAATGCTATGTTTATGAGGGAAAATATAAACAAACATGCTCTGAATGTCTAGAAATGTCACAGATGGTATGGCTTAATATTCTTGTGCACATTTGTCTTTGTACCTTGGAACCTGAGATGATATAATAATATATAAGTACCTGCTGTTATCAAACAATTTAGAGGGATGCTAATGGCATTTAGCACAAATGATATTTATCTATTTATTTGTTGCTCTTAATTAGATGGGGATAGCTGATGCTATACTGGACCTTGTGAGTAGTGGGACCACACTGAGAGAAAACAACTTGAAGGAAATTGAAGGCGGAACTGTGTTGGAAAGTCAGGTTAGCAATTGTCTTTTTTCAGCACAATTGATTGGTTCTTCGTAAATTGTAGGCACAAGGCAATTCCTTCTGCTGCGGCATATATCAGATTTGTCTCATTTGTGCTATTGGATTTTTTCAGGCGGCTCTTGTTGCAAGCAGGAAATCCTTGATGCAAAGAAAAGGAGTTCTGGAGACAACTCATGAAATACTTGAAAGATTGGAAGCGCATCTGAGGGCAACTGGGCAGTTTACGGTGCGTATATTGAAATCACAATCCTTTTCCCCCGAACTTCTATTTTATTGGTTCTTCTACTCCTTTTTCTGATGCCATACTTGACAGGTTGTTGCAAACATGAGAGGAAGTAGTGCAGAGGAGGTGGCTGAGAGAATATTGAGTCAGCCATCCTTATCGGGGTTGCAGGTATGATATTGGGTGCAGTCAAAAACCACTGTGCTTGTATCATTTGGGGTATCTGGAGGGAAATCCCTCTGGCATTTACTTCTTGCAATCGCGAACGGTTATTCATATTATGCTTTTGTAGTTATGAGAAGCATCATGTTTTCAACTACAACTCTTAGCCAATTTAAAGAGCTGGACTTGATTGATTTTCTTCAGGGACCTACTGTAAGTCCTGTTTTCTGCAAACGCAATGGGAAGGTATCAGCAGACTACTATGCCATAGTCATATGTGTGCCAAAAAAGCAACTATACAAGTCTGTATTGCAACTGAGAGCGGTGAGTCCAGTTTTCTTTCATGTCTTTATTGGGGTGGTGGGTTTTTGAATGGATGGACAAGGGAGGAGGTATGTTTAAATCAATCATGTCCATTACCTCTCCTGGCATCCAGAGTTATAATTTTTTCCCCCCAACCTGACCTGAAGGTATCGATTTAGATGACACTATTGTATAGCATTTAGACACATCTTTAATCTAGTATGAAACTTACCTGGACTTGTTTCGGTTTACCTATTTTTTGGTCCATCTGGCTTCTCTGGTCCTGTGGTATGAAAAATAATAGGAGTTCAGTGGTCGTTAGCAAGAGGGTTATGACTTGGGAGCTTCATCTTTATTCTGCTGGATCTTTTCAGAACTGCTTGTCATTGTGTAGGAAAGATAGCGACACAAGGAGTGAACATGTGTTGGATCAACTTTAGCTCATCCCACTCGCTCGCTAGTTTCTTCTTATCCATCTTACATTAGTAGTGCTTGCTGTGCATTTAACTTAAGAGCATCTGAATCCCTTAGTTTGGTTTTCCATTTCAACCGATTTGATGCAGATCGGCGGCAGTGGAGTTCTCGTGTCGCCATTGACCTATATTTTCGAAGAGGAAACTCCAAGATGGCGTCAGCTTCTCTCGAAAATCGGGATGTAGCTACTTAGAAGGTGAAATGGTGGAGCCTTTTGTTCTTGTTTTTACTGCTAGCCACCGCAAAGGAAAAGAACTTCCACCTGTGTTGTGAAAGCCTCATGATGAAGATGATGACCAGAGCCCAGCTATAGCTTTGCAAATCCACCGAGGGACATTTAATGTGGCAGGGCTTTCTGTATATGATCCCCTCTCCGTATTCTGCTTGAGGATGATGAACTTCTTAATTCTTGGCCTTTAAGAGTTGTTTCCTAAGTTTCTAGAGATGTTTTAAATTAGTTCATTGTAAATTTATTTTTGATAAAGTAATTTTGGTTTTTGTTGGGAATGTTACCAATCATTTGAGAGTATAAAACTCTTAAGATCATTTTCATCAATAAAATTAGAACTTTCAATCTTATTTAAGAAAAGCCCTGTTACTGGATTCAATCATCATTAGCAATATATATAGTCTAAAAAATTTTATATATCGGATTTTGCACACCAAAATTGGGTTTTAGAAACTGAAAACCAAATACATGCCTTTAAGTTCCAGTTTATTACTCTTTCGGTTCTTAATATAGAATTTAATTGTTAAGTTAATTTTGATTCTAAATACAATATCTGTTTCTCATATTTATCAGTCTTTTCTAAATTATCCTTATGGATATTCTTTCAACCATAATAGTAGAAGAGGGGGTGATGATATTAAGAAAGATGATTATGGTATTTTAGAGAAAAACATGTTATATTTTTTATAATTAACTAACTTAATTTTTTTAATCTAATTAAATTAGTTAAATAAATGTTATATTGAGAACCGGACGAGTATTAGTTATGAGAAAAATGTTTCAGGTTTATCATCCGTTCATCTATTTATTTATCAGTATAAAAGCAGTAAATAAAAATAAGTACAATCTGACTGGATTTTCTATCAATTTAATAGAAATACTAAAATGTGAAATTAAAATAAAGTGAAATATTACTTTGGCTAAGTTGAAGCAATTTCGTCATTAGGATTCCCTCCTAAACTACGGCTATATATAATGATGTACTCGGTATTTGGATTACTGAAAAAGTGTTTTTAGAAAATATTTTTTTAAATCAAAGTAAATTTTTTTACATATTTATTTTGCACAAAAATAATTTTAAAATCATATTTTTATTTTCACCCAAACTTCGTGTGTGTATAACACACCCCCACACATATATAGAATGGGAGCACTAAAAATGCGTCTAGAATTAAACGTAGTTTTATTATAGTCTCTTAATTCTATAAAATATCTTTTAATCTTTTAATTTTCATATTTTTAATAAAAATGTTAACATTAAAATTTTAAAATGATGAGCTATTAAGTTTAATTTTTAAAAATAATAATAATTGTGATAAAAATATCATTTAATATTAATGATATTAAATCAAATGGCTAAAAAAAATACTTTATGAAGTTAAATAGTTAAATTAAAATTATAAGAGCTAGTTGACTAATATAAAAGCTAGTTAAATTAAAGTTTTATATTAACTTTTTAATATAAGAACTAGTTGACTAATTTAAGTATATTAAGAAAATTAGTTAAGTTAGTTATTTATAATCAATCGATATTTTCTTTTCTAAAATACCTTTCTTAATCATGTGTATTAGCTAAAATTATGATTTAATAAATTTTTTAACATGTACAATTAAATAAGAACTATCTTAAAAAATAAATAAATATGAGAAATAAAATAAATTTTTTTTACTAGCAGATATAAAATAGTTTAAAATCTTATATTTAAAACTAATAAATCAAATGTCAAATCAATTTTTATATTAACCAGAATAAAGAGCAATAATATATTTTTCACAATAAATATATCTGGAAAGATTTTTTTTTTCTCCCCAAAGCTCCCCAAACCTTTTCCCGAAACCCGGTAATCTTTACTTGAATAGCACCAATTGCAAGATGAAGGATTCCAATACTCCAACTGGACGACGAACCTCAGAAATCTCAGCAGCAAATACTATAATCTGATTCAGACTCTGGTCATGAGGTCGTTTCATGTTTTTGTTATTTTCTCTATAAATTAGGGCTGGCTTTTCAACTGAATTCGGTTTTTTCCCACTGAGAGAGTGTCGGACTTGCACAGTTGCCTCCTCTTTTGACTCTGCTACTCTTGACCCAAGCACTCCCATTTCGCTTCTAGTCACTGCCGGCGCCGCCGTCATTCTTCACTGTTGTTTTTTTCCCGGTGGATGATTTGCCGTCGGGGAGATCTAAGCAGTATCGAGAATGTGGCTACCATCATTGACTTACTAATAAATTAGTATTCAGAAGGTTGAATTGCTCGCTAGTGGAAACTACATTGTTAATCGAATATGGATCTTCTTCTGGGTCTTCTTCTTCTGGCCTTTGTCTTTCTCTTCACCGCCCATTGCTCAGAAGATATTGCTACTTCTGTCCCTAGTGACGCATTGTCCCTTCTCAGCTTCAAGGACTCCGTCTCTTCCGAATCTTCTGCCCTTCTCGTTGGATGGAGTAAGGAGTCTACTGAAAGTTACTGTCAATGGCACGGCGTTACCTGCGAGGATAGGCTCTCTGGCAGAGTTATTGCTTTGAACTTGACCGGACTTCGCGGCGGCAAGCTCACTCCTTCCATTGGAGATATGTCTGGGCTTCGAGTTTTGTCCCTTCCCCAAAATACGTTCTCCGGTGAGATCCCGGAGACTCTGGGGAAGCTTCGGCTTCTGGAGGTTCTTGAGCTTCAAGAAAACAATTTTTCCGGAGGGATCCCCAACCAGATAAGCTATCTTCCATCTCTTCGCATTCTTAACCTCTCTAATAATGCTTTGTCCGGTTCCATGCCTGGTAAATTGATTGGCTTTGGAAATGTTAGCGTCATGGACTTGTCGAGCAATCAGCTTTCTGGTCCAATTGTAGATAGCGTCAATACTGTCTTTGAATTTTTGAATCATTTGAAGCTGTCCGACAACTTCCTCACGGGCCAAATTCCGTCCGAAATTGGGAAATTCAGAAATCTGAGGACGCTTTTACTCGATGGGAATATCTTAGAAGGCGCTATCCCTTCTGAGATTGGGTATATGACGGAACTCAGACTTCTAGATGTCTCTAGAAATAGTCTTACTGGAAGAATTCCAAAAGAAATAGCCAACTGCCGGAAACTGTCAGTGCTTGTGTTGACTGATTTAGTCGATGATACTCCTTCTCCGGATGAGAGCTCGGTGAATAGCTTCAGAGGGGAATTCAATGCTTTTGTTGGAAATATTCCTCCGCAGGTAATGTTGCTCTCAAGTTTAGAGATTTTGTGGGCACCAAGAGCGAATCTTGGCGGACGGTTGCCTAGGGGCTGGACAGATTCATGCTCGCTGAGAGTAGTCAACTTGGCAGAGAATTATATTATTGGGGGGATACCAGAAACCTTAGGGATGTGCAGAAATTTAACTTTCCTTGACCTGAGCTCTAACAATTTAGTGGGGTATCTTCCTTTAAAGCAACTTCAAGTTCCATGTATGTTGTACTTCAATGTTAGCTGGAATAATTTATCTGGCACCCTTCCAGGATTTGGGAACGAAAGCTGTGATTTAAGCAGAATCCTAGGTGATGCACAAGTTGATATTCTTGTTTGGGAATCTCTGATGGATGCTCTCCCTGGATCAGGTTCAGAAGATGCTGTCGTCATTAACCATGATTTCAGTTGGAATAACTTTACGGGATCTTTACCTTTATTCTTACTGGGAGATACTACAAGGAGCAAGATTTCCTACACGCTATCACTCAGTAATAACAAGTTCAGTGGAACTCTACCATATCATCTGGTTTTGAACTGTAATGATTTCAAGATGTTAAAGGTTAACTTGAGTGTGAACGAACTCTCTGGTGGAAATTTCCAAAAGTTGCTTATTGACTGTTTGCAGTTGACAGAGTTTGAGGCTGCGTACAACCAGATTGGGGGTTCAATTGATCCGCATATTGGTGACCATACAATGCTCCAGCGCCTTGATTTGAGGGGGAACAAACTTACTGGATTTCTGCCTGATCAATTGGGAAACCTGAAAGACATCAAATGGTTGCTTTTAGGGGGGAACAATTTAACTGGAGATATCCCTTCTCAACTTGGTCAATTGGCTTCCCTTGTTGTTTTGGATCTATCTCACAATGCTCTTACTGGCACAATTCCTGTAAGCTTGACAAATGCCACAACTCTTGAATCTCTGTTGCTAGATCACAACAAGCTCAATGGGGAAATACCTTCATCCTTTTCCACTCTTTCCAGTCTTGTTGGTTTTGATGTTTCTTTCAACAACCTTTCTGGTCATATTCCCCATCTCCGTAACCAAATTGATTGTGACTCCTTCAAAGGGAATGTACACCTGCATTCATGCCCTGATCCATATTCTGCCTTACCTGCTTATCTCCCAGTCCCTCTTGAAGTCCAAAATTGGCAGAGACGAAAAAAGTTGAAGACAATAATAATAGCTGTGGTCTCTTCAGTCTCTGTGGTCCTCTGTGTACTAGGAATAGTTTTAGTGATCACTTTTGGAAGGAACAAGTTTGGTCGGCTCAGCAGCCTTCGAAGCAGACTACTAGTGACCTTCCAAGATGTTCCCATTGAACTCAATTACGATAATGTTGTCACAGCCACAGGAAATTTCAGCCTCCAAAATCTAATTGGAACCGGTGGGTTTGGGTCTACTTACAAGGCTGAACTATCCCCTCGTTTCCTCGTTGCCATTAAGAGGTTGTCTATAGGTAAATTCCAAGGCATTCAACAGTTCGAGACAGAGATAAGAACCTTGGGGAGAATCCGACACAAAAACCTTGTCACTCTTATTGGCTACTATGTAGGAGAGGCCGAAATGTTCTTGATATACAACTACCTTTCAGGTGGGAACCTTGAAACTTTCATACACAACAATTCAGATAAAAACATGTTGTGGCCAATTATCTACAAGATAGCAATAGACGTGGCAGAGGCCATAGCTTACCTTCACTACTCCTGTGTTCCTCGCATTGTTCATCGTGACATCAAGCCCAGCAACATCTTACTTGATGATGACTACAATGCCTACCTTTCAGATTTTGGATTGGCTAGACTCATGGAGGTATCTGAGACCCACGCCACAACTGATGTGGAAGGCACATTTGGGTATGTTGCACCTGAGTATGCCACCACTTGCAGGGTTTCTGACAAAGCAGATGTTTATAGCTTTGGCGTTGTGTTATTAGAGTTGATGTCTGGAAGGAAGTCACTAGATCCATCGTTTTCTGAATATGGAAACGGGTTCAATATTGTGCCGTGGGCTAAGTTGCTAATGACGGAAGGTCGTTCTTCTGAACTGTTTTCACCTGCTCTGTGGGAAGCAGGACCTGAGGAGAAACTGTTGGGGCTTTTGAAAGTTGCATTAATCTGCACGGTGGAGACGCTTTCCATTCGGCCATCGATGAAACAGGTTCTTGAGAGATTGAGACAACTTAAAAGTTGAAAAATTTTCAGAATCATAGCCTACAGTAATATTCGTGTCTGCTTGACTATACTGACCGTGACTCATTCCTCTGAGATACTGACTAGAGAGAAAGTGTGGTCTTCAAGTTCCTTTGCGTCTAGCTAGTTGCTGTGGAGCAACTTTTTCTTGTATATACAAGCAAGATACAAGTAATCTGATCTCTCAATTTTAATCACATGGATTCTTTGCTTTCCACTTTAGCAATTCCCATTAGTTACAAAATCACTTCATTAATTATTTTATTATTTACCTGCAAATGGCTAATTGTTAAAATGTTCAATTTTAATTATTCAAGATTTATTTCATCCCAAAAAACAATTATTCAAGATTTAAATGGGGGGCCCCTAATGACCACTTACGTGTTATCTTCACTGACGAGAGGTTGATTCTCATGTAACTTAATACGTACCAATCAAATTTTGTTCATATGCAGTATCATCAATTTTTTTTTCTTTTAACGCAAGTTAAAAGCATTTATTTCTTCCACACATATTGCAGGTTCATATGTCGTTTTATATTATTAAAATTTGTGCTGGCAAAAACAAAATTAAATTTTTGAAACCTTTGAATGTTCATATCTCACTAATTATTTAATTATTACGGTTTCTTGAGATGGTTTCGTTATAATTTTGAGGTACAATTGAAATTAAAAAAAAAGCATAAATATAAAAAGATAGAAAGAAGAATAGAAATTGCAGGCATAAATCTGGGGAAAGTAATTGATACGGCCATACGGGTGAACAAACTTTTGTCCTGGAAAGATTTGTGGACCAAACTTAATGTGCCTCTGTTGGAGGTTAACGGAGATATGATTCTGCTCCGTGTTGCCACTGAAGAAGTCTCCAGTTATGTTCTGTGCAGTGAGTGATCCATCACATGCATACTAAATACTCCTCCGGTACTATAAATATAAGATCCTTACAGTGAATCCTATAAATATAAGACTCTTATAGTTATTATAAGGGTCTTATATTTAAGATCAGAGAAGTAATACATTAAATTAATAAAAAAATTTATGCTTGCCTAGAAAGGATGTTGAAAAAGAATACTACTTCCGATCCTAATTATAAAAGCCAGTTGACTAATTTGAGGAAATTAAAGAAGTAAGTTGAGTTGGTTATTTGTTTTAAATAGGTGTTGTCTTTCCTAAAATATTTTTGCTAATCAAGTATATTGACTAGAACTATCATTGTTAGAAGGGCTACTTTGGAAAAAAATATATAAATATGAGAAACAAAGTGGATTGAGGTCTTATATTTAGGACCAAAATAAAAGTCAAACAGGATCTTATATTAAGGACCGGAGGTATTATGTTGTATGCTTTTCTCACATATTTTTTTAATTGTATTCAATAAGAATAAAATTGAAAAAAAATGTCATTAATTATCCCACGAGTGATTAGTATATAAGAACAAACTTTTTTCCCTCTAAGTGACTTATATATAACATGCATGGTCCTCACCGACATTTGATGGAACCTTCACTTCACTGGACATTTTTGTGTGTTGTTGCTTATTTGCTGGTGCATATGGCGATATCAACTTGGAGGGTGTTTGGATTAGTAAAAAAATGCTTTTTAGAATCACTTTTTTATGAATCGAGACAAATTTCTCTATATATCTATTTCGTACATCGTAAAAACACTTTTAAAATAATAGTTTTGTTTTCAACCAAATATCTTCTCAATTTGGAAGCAAATTCTAAAAGCAAATAGAGCGGAGAAAATGAAATCATTCTTATGGCTGATTACTCATAACAAATTTCATATTGCTGCCATTCACTAGGGAAGAGATCATCTTGAAAACAACAGTTGTCCTTTTCTTGCTAAGCACATCTATTTTTTTTATTGGAGGTAATCATACTTAAAATACTATCAAGTATTAAAAGTGAGTACTTTTTCCTACAAAAATTTGAACATTAGTTGGCCATATTGCGGGGGACTAGTCCCTTCTGCTAAACGTAACTCCCATTGGTTAGTAATTGTCCCAGTGAAGAGGAAAACTTGATGAATTTACTCGAGAGACTGAAACTTAGTGGATCTATTGTGATTCAAGGGAATCATCCACAGACTCAAACTTTGCTCGGAAAAAGGATTCAAGAAGGTGGAGGCTATCAGTCTGATCACTAGAGACTTGAAAGAAAAGCAACCCCGCCCATGATACTTTGCTGGAAGCTAGGTTACTTAAGTGTGTTTAGGTGAGTTTTTGTAAAATAAATTTAGAGAAAAAAATTGGATTTTGAGAATAAATTTGGCCATCTAATCCAAACACACACTAGGGGGACTTGGTATGTAACTTTTACCTTTTATATAGACTTTGCTAGATGAAATAAGTTTGCTTTTTGAGGAAACTCCAGCGTAGTTTGCTGAATCACCTATTCATAAAAAGAACTGCAGACATAAGGTTAAACATTCAAAATACAATTTAGTTTTATAGTTCAATTATTTATCTTATTTGTTGTTTTTTGACAAAAGATTTTTTCTTTTGTGACAAAAGTTTATGCCTACATATACTTAAATAGTTGCTACTCGTTAAAAATGTAACTAGATTTTTTTTTAAATAAAATACATGAGATGAATGAATTTAAAAAAAAGGGTCATGTTAGGTTAGTAAACAGTGGAGTAACAATATTTTATTCACTATGCCTTTGCGTAAGTGGGCCTTCCTTAACGATGTTTATGAAACAAAGTACAACTAACAAAATATATATTTTATAATTTATAAATAGTGTTCTGAGTTGTGAATTTTTTGTTTATCTATAACCGTTATTTTTAAGTTGGATTTTAGCATTATTTAGACTTGTAGAAATAGCTCTTTTTAGGCAGTTTTTTTTTTTGAAAATTAAACTTAGGAGGTAAGTATTTGAGGATATTTTGAAAATAGTAAGTTAAGTGTGAATTAAAAATTTTTTGACATTCGTTGTTATTATTATTATATTCTTTTTTTTTTCAATAAGCATTGTCATTATCATAATATTTCTTCCTTTTTCTTTTTTGGTTAAAGTATATATTTGGTTCTTTAATTTTATACCAAGTTTTAATTTGGTCTCTTAACTTTAAAAGGTATATTTTTAATCTTTTAACTTCAAAATTGTTAGTTTGAATAATAATTTTTTTTAATAATTATGGTTGTTTTGAATATTAAACTTAATATGTTAATATTTAGTAATATTTTATCAGTATTTAAGAGTTTAATATTATTATTTTTTGTTAATAATTTAGAATTAGAGGATTAAAAGCTGACTTTTAAAGATTAAGGGTATGTTTGGCTCAATGAGAGGAAGGGGAGGGGAGGGATTTAATGGAGGAAAGGGGAGGGGAGGGGAGTGGAAGGATTTTAATATTATCTTGTTTGGATTTATAAAAAAAGAGGGGAGGGGAGAGAAAAATATTTTAATATGGACAATTTTGCTCTTATTTTATTTAAGGCCTAGGCATAATATTCACAACATAACAAAATATAGACATAATAGTCACAACATGACAAAATATAGGCATAATAGTCATAATATGACAAAATATTGCACTTTTTCCCCAAATCCTCCCAATTTTGAAGGGGAGGGGAGGGGAGGGGAGGGAAATTTTAAAAAATTTTCCCTTCCCTCCTAAAATTTGTGTGTTGCCAAACAAGAGGAAATGATTAAAATCCCTCCCTTCCCTCTCAAATCCCTCATACCAAACACACCCTAAAGGATTAAAACAAAATCTTGTATAAAGTTAAAATACTAAAAAAGTATACTCTCGTTTTTTCCTTTCACGGCCAAGTACTTTTGTTGGGTTTGGGACAAAATGTTGTGGCGCCTCCACTGCAGCGGCCAGCTCTCCAAACCCCTTAAACCCTATTGTGTCCCGAAGCTCTGCAATCTTTTCTAGAATAGAGAATAGTAAGAGCAGGATGAAGAAGGATTCAAAGCTCGATGACGAACTTCAGAAGTCTCAACAACAAATAGTGGAATCTGGTTCAGACTCTGGTTACGAGGTAGTTTCATGTTTTTGTTATTTTTTGTGGAGTAGGTGTTGAAAGATTTTGTCTTTCTAATCTTTCGTGGTTGAAAAGTTACTCTAATGTGCAAGACATCTCACAGGGGTCCTTCACTTCTCGCATAAAATCAGCTCACAGTTCATCTTCACTTTATTTGATACAATACAATTTTCATGCCTTATTGTGCGAGCTACCGTTTCTCTCTCTCTCGGCAGCATAATGATGCAGCTTTAACTGCCGTTTCTGGGTTATGGGCGCATATTACGACCTGGCGCTTTCACCCCCCCCCAAAAAAATAAATAAAGTAGTCATGTACGGCTGTAAATAGATTAGTTTGAATTCCAACTCTTTGATTTCAGGATTCTTCTCAAGATCATGGGTCAGAGGATTCAGATGCATCATCAGAATTTGAAGATGGAGCTAGTAGTTCATCTGGGGACGAGGTACTTTTCAATTGTATTTGGCGTACTTTACGGTCTTGCAACGTAATGAAGAATACTTAACCTTTATTGTTTTGGGAAAAATGTTCTAGGATCATTTGGGGGATGATAACTCTGAGGATCCAGAAGCTGGAGAAAGTGGACCGTCTGAAGATGAGGTACATTATCATTGTGTTTAGCAGTATAAGTGTGCAAACTATAATTTGTTTGACGTTTTAAAGATTGTTATCTTGAACTGCACTACTTTTTGCTTAGCTGTTACCAATATGTGTAAGAGTTACCATGGCAGGACTTTATCAACACAGGTGGTAGTCATGCCTTGGGTGATGCCGATGATCAAGAAGATGGAAGTGAAGGCTCTGAAATTCATCAGGGATTTGAGAGTGATTCTTCTGAAGATGAGGTTATCATCATATTAATCTTATAGTTGACCTAATTTTGTCCTAGTTATCCTCCTCTAACCAAGCTTGAGCTTGCATGTACTTTATTTTGCCTTTGATAGGTCACTCCCCGAAATACCATTGGAGATGTCCCTTTGAAGTGGTATGAAGACGAACCTCATATTGGATATGATGTCAAGGGAAAGAGGATATTGAAGAGGGAAAAGCAAGACAAATTAGATTCCTTTCTTGCAAGTGCTGATGATCCAAGCAGTTGGTTAGTTTGATATTTCTAATTTTATGTTATTTACTTCATTTGTATTTAGATGATTTTTTCATGGCAGTTATCTATTAAGATATCCTTGTCATCCTGTATTGTTTCTCTGGTAATGTATACTTATTTTTTATTTTATTTTGTAATATATATATTTGTGGAAAAATAGGCTTGT